AATACCCGGTTAAGGCAGTGGAGAACTTTCAGAGGGTAATTAACAGGAGATAACTGATAACTGACATCCATTAAACATGGCACATGTCTACCCCAGTGAGCGAAATAAGGGGTTCAGTTCGACATTCCAAATACCTGAAGAAGGCCGGAGTGTACAACAGCCGAAACATTGTAATAAATATGGCGATAAAGATGAGGAAAATAGTCCGAATAATGTTTTTCTTTTCTTTTTTTCAGATTTTGTCATCCTATTTCAGAATATTATTCTCTTCTTTTGTTTTTCTTCATTGCTTGAATTTTCTTTTAATAATTGCCTTCAATACGTGGGCACGTCTTCATGAAATGCTTGGTTGTATCGTAATTCCCAATATTACGTTTTAATGGGTGTCTATCAAGAGTGATAAACTGGGACTGAAAATATTTGGTTTTTCATATTTCCCAAAAAGTATATAAATGCCACTATGTGGAAATATAAAACCGTTTTAAAAATGAAAAAAAGAAAAAGAAAAAGAAAACGGAAGGTCCGAAGACCAGCACGGCTTGATTTAGATATACCCACTCGTATCTGGAATGTTGGCCTCATCAAATCTTTCTTGATCTGATAGTCACCCAACAAGAGCTCACCGCCCCTGGTCTCAAATTTATACTCGCAAAATATTATTACATATTGTTCTTTTCTTCATTGCTTAAAATTTCTCTTAATATTGCCTCACTAAGTGTGTATATATATATATATATATATATATATATATATATATATATATATATATATATAGGTTTCATTAAATAATATATACAAGTGTTGTCTATTTACTTTATGTAAATTCTTTTCATAACGTCTGATAAGTTTAATAACATTATCATTGAACGAAGAAAAAATTCACTTATTGATCCATATTTTTAATACTCAGTTACAACACTTTGAAAATATAAATAATACATTTTATAGTAATAAAGTAGCATTACTACATAAAGAAGTTTGCGGTTTCACATGGTATTTCCGAGAAGGGATGAAAGAGTCCGTGCCTGCTTTGAACCAAGAAGAAACCTCAGTGTCGCATTTTTTTTTTCAGTTGGGAGATTGAAATGTCAGTCCAAGGGGCGTCACGAAAAAAATCCCGGAATAAATCCGGATCAACATACTGCTACCAGAAAGAGATCTCATGGATAGGAGGTTAGTGTTTAATTGATGCTTGGAAGGAGATATCAAAAAATACCACAGAGTGGTTCCAGTTACCAAGAAGGCAGTATTGTGAACATTGGCAAGATCGGAGAGTAGGTAAGAAAGAGATCCAATAGAGAAGCATTTTGTTCGCTTTGGCCAGGGAAACGAGTGGGGAAGTCCACGATTTGGGTGAGGGATTGGACAATGGAAAAATAGAAAAAGTAGTCAGGATCACCGAGAGAGAATTCTCTGGCCTTGGGCAGATTATCCCGGTTGTAAACACCAGGGCCCTACATATGAATACGGGAAACCAATCGGCAAAGGGCAATAATTCATTGGTTAGAATGGAGGTTGTTCAAGGACAAAGATATCTGACTACCTTTCCAGGTGGAAGTATATTTTGCTGCAGTAGTTGGAACTGATACCGCGAATATTGGAGAAAAAAAGATTGAGGGCGGCAGGTGGTTTTTGTTAAGTGGTTTAGTTTCATCTCTTTTATTGTGATTTCCATGAGATATGTTTTGAGAAGAGAAGAAAAAGATCACCATAATTGTCATTCGATGTCGTCAATAGTAATACCAACCAAAGTGTGTGCAGCTGAGTGCAGAGCATAATGGGAACTCAGCGTTGCCTACTGGAAATACATGCATGGACTGAGACCCTAACAGTTTATTTATTATTTGTTAGTTTAGCGACATATCTAGTAATTATGACTTATTTAATGAAGAAATTTAATTTTCTGGGAAGCATTCGTAATCCCTTTTACAAAAAATATATTGTTGGTAATGTTTTTTACTATGAAAATTTATTGCTTCTATTTTTACTATAAAAATAATTATACTTTAATTTATTTTGACCCCAGTTTGGGTTTTAAGTAGTTGCACATAACCGGGAACCTCACAAGTGCTACCACTGAATCTGGGGACAATAGCAATTCAGAGGGAAAATTAGCAGGAGATAACTGATAAGTGACATCCATTAAACATGGCACGTGAAACTAGAACAGTCTACCCCAGTGATCGAAATAAAGGGTTCAGTTCGAAGTTCCAACCACCTGAAGAAGGCCGGAGCGTACAACGGCCGAAACGTTGTGACAAATATGGCGACAAAGATGAGGACAATAGTCAGACTAATGTAAATACTGTACATAATACCTCATCTCAGAAATATAGACAGACTCCAATTAAGAGGTTGTTCCACGCTCCTTAAAACCTACTGATCAGAGGCCTTGTTGTTGGTTGATGTTTATCGTTATAGCAAGGACGATCAAGAATATATATGCAAGAATATGAGATTATGTATTTTAAATAATAATAATAATAATAATAATAAGAAGAAGAAGAAGAAGAAGAAGAAGAAATTATTAAATTACCAACTCGCCAATCAAGTATTTCGCTTAAATTTACCAAGTCCATGTACCATAGAGGAAAGTTCATCAGAATAATTACGAGGAAAATATTTATATATAGAAGCTACGTGACGGCGGTGGGAAAGTGACTGAATTTCGAGATGACAGGTCAGGACCAATGACATTACAGATCCTTTATATTTTATTAAGGATTTCTAAATATGTAGCAGTAGCCCGAGAAACGAAGTAAACGGTGGAGTAATGTATAGAGGCTTGGATTGAAGAATCAGAGAGCTGAGTTCGAATCCCAGTCGAATCCATTACATTCCCTTACGTATTAATACTCTTGTATGAATCCTCTTCTTACGCTATGCACAAATAACAGGGCAGACCGGGTTCTATATCCTTGGATACCACAGAAAGAAATGGCAGCCTACTGCAGGAAAAGATTTGTCTCGTCAGTCATATATCGGAAGATGCACGATCGCCTAAGCGTGTATCAGGCATGGCATATAGCTGACGGGGCCCCAGAATATGCAAAGCATGGTGAAATGTTAAACTTATAAGTGTATACAATTATAGTGGATACATTGTATTTGAAATAGACGCCACGTTTTTTATTTATGAAACAGCGTGTATTAAGTCTATCTTTCTAAGCATTCATGAATTGCAGAGATCGATCTTAAGTCCCTATTCCCTCTAGGAGAAACCATCGCCTGATCTGTAAAATAGAACATTGCTCGCTGTGATGATCTTTGTGAACAAGTGCGGAAAGGCGCCGGAACAGACGGTGGTTACCTACAGTTTTCTAAAACGGCACAGAAACTGTTTATTATGAATTTTGTCCCAAGCACTTTAGACAACTTCATTAGTCATTTTCAAGGTGTTTACGGTTAAATCACGCTGAAAACACCGGTTCTCGTTCGATCACCGAAGTTAAGCATCGTAGAGCCATGTTAGTACTGAGATGGGGGACCGCTTGGAAACACCTGGTACTGTAAGCAGACCTGGATTACCGATCCGCATTCTCCCGTTGAACACTTCGAGGTGGTGTAATGGTTAGCAAACTTGTCTCGTTAGAACAATTACGCCTGAGTAGTGAGTTCGATCCTCACTCGGTGCCCCATACTTTCGGCCTTGTGCCGCATCTAAGCTACGCTTGGAAAATCAATAGTCATTTTCAAGGCGATCACTATTGAAGATTTTCATGTTTCTGTTCTAATGTCAACAATGCACTGAAGTTGCCGTATTAGTAATCTAAGGCTCTGCGAAATGAAGTGTTCATGAATTTATGATGATAAATCTTCATATAAATAATTCATATTGAATCAATAATTTTTAACACATTGACGTTATTGTTAAATAGAATGGTGGCGATGCTTGGCTTGAATTGGGTTATATAATGGGCTTATACTATTCTTATAGATGACAGCGGCACTTACAAGATTGATGGTGTTATCAAATACATTTTTCTAATTGGGGCAGGCATGTATTTGTAGGTAGCAAGATGCTTTTTTAATGGCACTGGTATGAATCCATTTATGGATATACCTGAATGGTCGCTGACTTCTGTCATCATATATGTTGAGCCATCTATAAAGACCAGTGGATTTATGATATATATATATATATATATATATATATATATATATATATATATGTATATATATATATATATATATATATATATATATATATATATAGCGTCATCCACAGACAGATTGTTTCACTGTATTAGATCTCATCAGTATGGCTAAACGTCCTCTAGATAGAATCGAAACCAGACTGAATTGGCGTTAGTTGGATATTCTGCCATTAAGTCTTTGGCGCATGGCAGGGATGGATGTGAATTTAAGTGTATTTATTTTTAGATAAACAAACAGTGACTGGGAGAACTTGATTCTATTAACCGAAGAGTCTTGCATTATTAGCAGTAAATATCACTGTTTCCAAACTAACACTTCCTCTCCAGAGAGCTCAAATGAAATGAATCGTTCAGGAGCATATATACTGTCATTCACAGACAGACTGTTTCGAAGTATTAGAGCTCATCAGTATGGCTAGAGGTCCGGTTGCCTCTAGCTACGATAGGATGCAGACTGAATTGGGGTCAGTCGAGGTTTCTACCACTAAGCCATTGGTGCACGGCAGGGATGAAGGTGAATTTAAGCGTATTTATTTTTAGATAAACGCAGTGATTGTGAGAACTCGATTCGATTTACCGAAGAGTCTTTTATTATTTAGCCTTAATAATCCCTGTTTACGAACGAACACTTCCTCCCCAGGGAGCTCAAGCGAAATATTTTTTTCAGGAGCATATATAATCATTTTTATCAGGAGTTATCTACAATCCCATGAGGAAGTATAAACTTAGTACTGAAATATGAAAGATTTTGCGTAGAGATGAAAAAAGTTTTTTTTCTTTTTTTTTTTGTAATTTAATATTATAAAAATACAATATCTATGTCTCTTAATTCCCATGCACCCAATGAAGAAGACAGACCGTGGCGGGACAATACCTTACTGGCTGGGATCTGTCCAGCTTGTGGCGGGCGATAGCTGTCCAATGAGATCCGAAAATCTCTCCCACCAACGAGAACGACCCCTGGCACTGCGCTCTACGCCAATGGAGTGGTAGCTTATAACCGGTAACTGCTGTTCTCCGTGTTGTGTCGACGCCAAACACGAAGCTAGAGTTTCCTCTCTAGGTGTAGTGCAGGGTGTTTTGGCGCAGTGTAGTGTGGTCGGATGCAAGCCGGGGCGATGTGATATGGAAAACAGGCTGTTTCACATGTAGCACCCCCACCTCTACCCGTCGGCGTTGAGGCCAAAGGTACGACAAGGCCGCTACAACTTGAGACCTGGTCTGTCGAAGGAGCTGCCAGAAAGGGTTTGGTACAAGGGTGAACTGCTTTAGGGACTCTATCACCGAACTTTTCCTCGAGACTTACTCCTGAAGGCTTCTCTATGGCAGGATATAGCAGCAAGGAAGCGGATGTTTGAAGTAAGGATTTTCCTCTCCTTAGGTGAACTAACTTCCCAAGCTGTCAAGCTCCACATAACCAATGCTGGATGTAGTTTATCGTCATTAGAATCCCCAACTGCGGGCAACCAGGACACCAGTTTAGGGATTAACTATTTGCCCAAAGCTGGGACCGGGTCAATGTGGTCATGGGAACAACAGCAATTAAGAGGTGTTTCCACGCACCTTAAAATCTCTTGATCAGAGGTCTCGCTGCCGGATGTAGTTTATCGTCTCACCCACTACACGCATAAAACATTATATATATATATATATATATATATATATATATATATATATATATATATATATATATATACACTGGATGTCGGAGGAAACAGTCCATCAAATGTGCCAATATATCGCTATACTTTTTAAAATAATAATGAAAATGTATAAAATTTTTATCAAATATATGAGAATATTTTATTATTATTATTATTATTATCATTATTATTATTATTATTATAATTATTATTATTATTAGTGCTGCTGATTTTAAAATAGTTGAAAGTTAAATAATAAAAAAAATTGACTAGTAGTAAATGAAACAAAATAACTTTGTAACTGAGAACGCATTTTCAATAAAATTGAAATTCCGTTACTTTGCAATTAATAAATAAGAAAATGGAAAAATTGAAATTCATACTAAATGTTGTAAAATAATCTTTGAATATAACTAATAACAGATTTTAAGAATTCAGAGATAATGAGTTACTAGTCAACGATAAGCAAAATAGACATTTAAAAAATGCTTTCCCCTAATTCCAAAACTACGACCGATTTCGTAATAACAGCAACAGATAAATTAATGTTACGCTTAGATATAAATAGATTAAATTTATTCATGCCGCTATATAATTAGTCTAACAAATACAATATATTAAACGTGCTTAATATATCTTATTCTTAGCGAGAAATTTCACCGGCGAAACAATTGTTTTAAAATAAAAAAAAAAAAAAAAAATCGTTATATACCGCGATTAAATATAAAAAAAAACATGTACAAAAAATTATAAAATTCTTATATTATATATTGTAAATGAATAACATAATTAAATATAATAAACAAGAAAAATATAAGAATAATGTATAGTTAAAAACAATCGAGACTTTCCTTAACATCGCTTTGTTAGAACCATGAAAAAATACGTCCGTTTACACCGACATCAGCATTTCATAATACATAAATACAATAGTAAATACTGTATGTTGGTGTGCAGTTGGAGAATCGTCTCACTTGTGCTAGTCAAACACTCTGCCTCCGGGAACTGAGGATACCCAGACTAGGCTATGTCGAAGTGCAGAGTCTCGTCTCGAGAAACAGCTACCCGACTCCGTTTTATACGGGAAATTTTTGGCCTAGCCTACGGACTCGGATACCCCACACTAAATTAGATATACTGCAATTGAAGATTCATTGCGGAATTCTCTTCTAGCAGTTGACTACTTCTACGCGACGCTAGAGAATCTTATTTATGTTTTTTTTCTTGTTCTAAGTCTCATCGTTTGATTAATCTATTCAATAACCTTCCTTAAGTAACAACACTAAGTGTAAACAAAATCTTGCAAAAAAAAAAAAAAAAAAAATTAATAATCAGAAAGTAGTGGAGAGATCCCGAGAGAAACTATATTAAAAATCAGAAAGAAAGATTTAATGGTCGAAACTCTAAAATTTTAATACAAGTGAGAATATGTTGTCAAATTTAAGTTGTAAGGTATCTATTTTTAATTGCAACTTATCTAATAAAACTACTTTAAAAAGTTAAATGGCAAAATAAGTGACAGAAAAATCATTTTAAGTAACAAAGTATCTAATAGTAAAATATAATATAATTTTCAAATTTAAATTGCATATCTCATAAAAAACACTTTCCAAATTTAAATTGCAAAAATATCTAATAGAAATATACTTTTCACATTTAAATTGCAAAGTATCTAATAAAAATACTTTTGAAATTTAAGTCGCAAAATATCTAACAGAAAAATGCTTTTCATATTCAAGCTGCAAATTATCCAACAGAAAAATACATTTCAAATTTAAATTCCAACGTATCTAAGAAAAATACTTTAAAATTTATATCTCAATGCATCTAATAGAAATATACTTTTGAATTTAAAATTGTAAATTATTAATTTGAAAAATACTTTAAAATTGAAATTGCAAGTTATCACATGGTAGAAATACTTTTCAAATGAATTCAAATATAATTTTCAAACGTATTTCTAAATAGTTAATTAAATTCATCTATATGTTCGAAATCTGAAAATTTCGTAAGAAGTTTTCACTCGCAAATAATACCGTTGTCTTTGTAATGTGAAGCATAATGGCCTCAAAAGATCCTTCGCAATTTACCTTTCTCGTATAACGCGCAGTTGATTTTATCCTTATATTTTTTTTAGAAAAATGCGCATTATACAAAATATAATACAGGTTTACAGCGTGCATAATTATTTTTCGTTCGCATATATTAATAAATAATACGACGTATGTACACCTTCATGTACGAGGCATGCGTGATAATATTCCCTTGAGTGTATGCAAAAGTGAAGAGGTCAGGTCGAGATAACACTTTTTGAGCATTAATATTCAATGCATTCAGTTGAACATATTTTTTTATTATTTTATTTCTCATTTTTCTTTTTTCCCCCGCGTCTCTTCATTCCGTTTCATTCGAAAACTATTTGGGTCATGAATACAAAATAAACTAATTAGAGTGGTGGAAGTTGGGAAATAAACACCTCAGTATTTTCCCGTGCATAAGTGATTATTTCATTATCCATGAATTTACTCTATTTGTTTACATTTCTGTTAATTTTTCTCTCTTTTCGTTGATCGATTTTTTTTCCTTGTTTTATCTTGATTTTTAATCTATCTCCTTCAGTTTCTTTTACTGGTTCGTTTATTTCTATGAAGAGTTGTTTCCCCTTTCTTTGTCATTTCTTTTCTTTTCCTCTCCTCTCTCTAACTTTACTCATTTGCAATGCTGTGACTTTAAATCAACATTTTCTATACGTATTCAATTCAATTGCCTCTGGTATTTATATATATATATATATATATATATATATATATATATATATATATATATATATATATATTTATATTTATCGTCGTTCAATTTCGTTTATTTAAAATATTTAATCACACATCCGGATTTTTCCTTTTAAATGTTAGTCCTTTTTTTTAATGTTTTCTTTTTAGATAACTTAATATTGTTTTCTGTGCATCATTTTCTTTCACTTTATTTGTTTTGATTTTTTTTCAGTAATAGTCTGTTTATTTTTTGCGGCTTTCTTTTAGTAGTTTTTCTAGATTTCTTTCCAATAATCTTCGGTGTTTTTTTTCTTGTTTTTTTGTTATTGATTTATTTGACAACAAAAACAAGCAAAAAAAATTTCATTCTTTAATCTTTCTCTCCTTCATTCCTTTTGTAGTTACAATCTTTCACATTTCTTTCGAATTTTCTTTCATAATTTGCGGAATGTTGTCTTTCCTTCAGCTTTTATTCTTTCCTTTTTTTATCTATTTTTCTTTCGAGTTTCTTTTGACCATTAGTTTTAATTTTTTAAAAATTTTCGTTATTTCTTTCATTGCTTCTATATTTATTCGTCTTTTTTATTCTTTTCTTTTTAAGTCCTTATTTCCTTTTTCATCCCTCTGGATATTTTAGAAGTAGATCATTTTTTTTTGTTATATTTTTAGATTTTTCCAATTCCTATCATTATTTATTCTGATTTAAAATCATCTTTTCCGTTTTAATTTCTAAATCGCTACAATTTGCACATTTATTTACACCCTTTATTCAGTATAATATTTAGACATCTTTCTTTTTTATCTCTTTTGAATTATATATTTTATAATATTTATTATTTTCTTTAATACTTCTCATATTTTTCATTATTAGTATTCTTTTGTCTTTCTTATTTTTCGTATTCTACCAATATTTTATTCATGGTATCACTGTTTCTATCATCCTTCTTCCTTTTCGCATTTTTCTTTTACTGTTTTATATTATATTCTACATGAAAGTGTCTTTTTAATATGTCTCCAATACATTATGTCCACAGTTAGGAGCTTTTTTATGATTTCTTTTCCTATGTACTTCTATTCCCCAAGCTATATTTTATTCTTAAATATGTATGGAAATTTAATTAACTTAATTACCGTTTCCTGAGAGAGATGGATATCGTCCCAGGAATTTCCATTGTCAATCTTAACGAAATAAGCTATGCTGATGACCGAATGCTGATACAAAACATAGAAAGAAAACGACAGAAAAAAAACAAGCTAGAAGAAAGAAGTAACTATCAGTTAGTAAGACGAAAGGATTTAAGGTTATCAAAAAGAGAAAGAAAACAAGCTTCAAACTACTAATAAGAGTTGTCAAATGGAGTAAGTACGAAAATTTAAATATCTGGGAAGTGTTCTAACAAAGGATGTAAGATGTGCCACCGAAATCATTTTTTTTTATACAAAGAATTATTCATTCCAAAACCTAAGCAAAGTATTAAGAAATAGGAAAAATTCGTCAGAAACAAACAAAAAAATGTACTAAATGTTTATGCATTATTAAGCACCTTCTATGGCAGTAAAAACCAGACAATCTCCTAACAGAGATTTAAGGCAACAGAAATATGGTTCTTAAGACGGATACTGAGAACTAGTGTGTAACATGGAAGTTTTTCAGAAAAAAAAATAAAAGTATTCAGAATCAGAAAGAGACAGTTGGTATTATTACGGCACATAATTAGTAAAGAGTGCTTGGAGAATCTGTCACACCAAGGACATAGTGAAGTCAAAATTGTCACAAAGGCAAAGATTTACCTCCCTTACATGCTAGTGTGATTGAATGGCACTACAGTGATTGGGATATATATCGAAAAGACAACTATTAACAAGGTCTACAATGGCGCAGTGGATAAAGGCGTTAGTTATCCAGGGACCAAAGAGTGTGAGTTCAATACACGGTTAAGGCAGTTGAGAACTTGGAGAGGAGAATTAACAGAAGATAACTGACACCCATTAAACATGGTACATGGAACTAGAAAAGTTTACCCCAGTGAGCGAAATAAAAGGTTCAGTTCGACACTGCAAACATCTGAAGAAGGCCGGAGCGTACAACGGCCGAAACTTTGTAATAAATATGGCGACAAAGATGAGGACAATAGTCAGAATAATGTAAATAGCGTACATAATACCTCCCCTCAGAAATATAGTCAGATATTGGTAGGAAATAGTTGAGAGCTATGATCGCCCACGTGCTGAACGGAATGACTTCGTGAGAGCGAAGTTACCTATCTGCTCATCACCATCTCTAGCTGCACACACAGAGCCTTTGCAGGGTCGGTCGAGAAAATTCTTTTTTATGTACCATTTCATGTCAAGACCTAGGCGATCATGACTCTCCGCAACTTCCTGTTTCTTGTTGATCTTAATAACTTTTATCTTTCTGTTATTTCTCAGACGACGTGTTTTATCATTGATTTACTCCGGCTAATTAAGTAGGTGATGTGTTGTTTTCCTCTGTCCCTCTTGCCTTCTGTCTGTCCCGTGAGTATCATATTTTCCAAGCCCTCCTTTCTTATTATATTTTCCAGAAACCTCATCTGTCTCTTCCTGATTTTAAATATTAGCTTCCGTTTTCTTTCCATTTTCTCTAAAATTTAGCGGTTACTCACACGTTCAGTCCACAGTATCCTCACCATCCTTCTGTAGAACTACATTTCTGCTTTTTCGTCCTTTTCATCTCCGAGAAGACCGTCCAACAGTCACTCCCATACAGAAGGACAGATATCGCCTAGCAGTTTATTACTATTTTCCTTGATTCTAGCAATTTTTTCTATTTCTTATTACGCTGCTTAGCTTTTCGAACGCTTCATTGTCTATCCCAATACGCCTTCGGATTTCAGTGGCGCTCTTTCTGTTATCTGTTAATATATATATATATATATATATATATATATATATATATAAAAGTGTAACCCGGATATAAGAGAAACCCGGATATAAGAGATATTTTCTCTGGTCACAAATTAGAGCCTGTGTTAATCTATATAAAATAGACCAAACCCTGATATAAGAGAAACCCGGATATAGGATACTTCTTCTCCGGTCCCGACAACTCTCTTATATCCGGGTTACACTGCATATACAATTCAGCACTTGTTTGATTCTGTTATCTCCTATTTGCAATTCAGGGATATGCAAATGTCACATAGTACATCTACTCACCTCGAGTTAAAATTGTCTTTCTTCTTTATGTTCCGTGACACTTCATGACGTAGGCAATCATGGCTTTCCAAAACTTCCTCTCCATTGTAGTTCTTAAACTTTTTGTTATTTCTCCTAACCCCTGTTACGCCATCCACTTACTCAAGCTCTCTATATTATACATTGCTTTCCTTTGTTCACTTTCTCTGTCCTGTGAGTATCAGATTTTCCAAGCTCTCTTTCCTCATTACGTGCCCCAGAATCTTCAACTGTCTATAAATGAAGTTAAGTATTAGTTTCCTTTTAACTTTTATTTTCTCTAGAACTTCGCCATAGTTCATATGTTCTGTCCATGGTATCATCAGCATCCTTTCTGTTTTTTCAAGCCGTCCTTTCATTTTTGAGAAGATCATCCAACAATCACTGCCATACAGAAAAACAGATATCACATAGCAGTTTACTACTCTTTTCCTTGATTCTAGCGTTATTTTTCTATTTTTTATTACGCTGCTTATCTTGTGGAATGCGTCCTTGTCTATCCCAATACTCCTTCGGATTTCAGTGTCGCTCTCTTCGTTGTCTTTCCAGATATTTAAAATATCCACACTTGTTTGATTTTGGCACCTCCGAAATAAATTCAATCCATCGTCATTTTCTTCTACTCTGGTTTTCTTTCACCTCCAACCACACTTGCAAAGCCAAACGGCGATAGGGAATGGATGACGAGAACAGCTTCTAAAATCTTCTAATGCAGAAACTGCACGTTAGCGGCGAATTTAGTGTTCACAGCGATCATCATAACGGAAGCGATCAGCGAAGAAATTGAATACAAGATAAAGCCGACGACTATTTTTGTTAGCATTTTGTGAATCCTCTATTATAATTTTCTTTATAATCTTGTTAATGTCGCGCGGTGTTTTTTCGTTGCTATTTTATTGATGTCTGCGTATATCCTTTTATTTCGTTTGAGATGCTTTATATATTTGTTTTAATCTTCGGTATGAAAACTTCTGCATTCTTATTTACGTAGCATTGTTATTTTTTTTTATTTTTGTTTTCTCGACTTCGTTTTGAATTTTCGCATCTGTCATCTCTTCTATATTGTTATTTAGGCATCATTGTCTTTTCTTCTTGAGATGACATTTATGTTTATCAAATCTATTCTTTCATTCGATTTGATACATATTTTTAAATCATTTTTACTTAAGATGGCTTTTCTATATTCATATTTAGAGTCCATATTTTACATGCCGTTTTATGTTTTTCCTGTCCTGTCCTGGGCGGATTGTTGTGAGAAGAAGATTCTTGGGATAAATTACAGAAGTAGGGTACCCAGGCCTACTCGGATAACGTTCTTGCTTGCCGCGGGGTTCCCACAGACGCAGAGAAGCCGCCGGTTGCCGATGCAGACGCTCCTTGGATTTTCACCAGAGCCCTTGTTAGCCGGCGTGTGTGTCAGACCTGTCCGCCTTGGGTGGCCCTACCAGGAACGAAGTTCCGGACGGCATAGCTCTGACACTACCGTTTGCACCCCCCACCAACTGTGAGGTAAGGGTTGGACTTTGGGGGCTTACAGTACCAGGTGTTCCCAAGCGGTCCCCCATCTAAGTACTGACCTGGCTCTACGATGCTTAACTTCGGTGATCGAACGAGAACCGGTGTTTCAGCGTGATTTGACCGTTTTATGTTTTTCGTACATCTTCATTCATATAATTTGTTATATTGTTTTAGGTCCCTTTTAATTTCCATCATTTTTGCATATATTCATAATCCATTCGATTCTCTCGTTTGATATTCTGGTTTTATTTGTTTTGTTTGTTTATTTTTGTTTTTGTTTTTTTTCTGTTCCTTCTTTTAGACCAACTTGAAATAGAGCGACTACATTGAAACAGTACCTGCATCTACTGCAAGAAAAGTTAGTTCACTGAGCAATTCCAGATAATTTTTATCCTCAGAATACATCTTGCACATTTACAAATTTACCATTCGTCTGTGCACTAAACACTGTTGCCATACCTGGTCTGGGGTTCCTACTGTAAATCTCGAGATTCTTGACAAAATCCAATGAATGATCTGTAATGTTACCAGGCATCTCCATTTCAGTCATTTTCTTACCGACGTAACGTAGCTTCCCTCTATCTTTTCCATGACGACTGCACAGACTAGCTTTTTTTCCCCCAGTTCCCAGGTCTTCATGAATTTAAGCGTGCTACTAGACTGGCATCTATGTCCCACTCTTTTACTTTTGAAATAGCTAAATAAAACCACTATTTTACTCCAAAAGTTTCTTTTCTCGCATGTTCTACCTTCCGTTTATTTGCTTCTCCCATAAATAAAATCTTCAAAAAAATTAAATGCAATGTTAATCGCCATCTTCAAACTCTTTTTTTTTTGTTCTTTCCTCAATTCTCCCTATACTCCATTTTCTCTCAATTTCAATGCCTGTAATCCCTTGTGTACTAGCGGCATTCTAGCCATGCATGCGATGAAATGAACTATAATTTGCTAATATAAACAAACAAAAGATTTTATGTCATATCAATCTGACAATGAATACTTGACAATATCCAGACAGACGATGAGAAAATTAGAGGCAACGGGAATGTATTTGTCGGAAGAATGCTGAGTATCACATGGAAGGAGAGTGTATACAACGAAAGTGTTTTAAGTAAAATATGAACAAAAAATATACAATTTTTTTTTCCTCAGAATAAGAAAGAGACAGTAGACATTACTTGGACTTATAATGAAGAAGGAAAATTGACACTGACCCGACTCAAGGTAGAAAAAATGGTGAAGGGGAGACAGCGAGGTTACTTCCTGACCAAGGGGCGTGGATCGATGGCGAGATGTGATGCGAAAGATTTCGCAAATAGGCAGAAATTGTAAAAGAGCTGCAGCTCTTGTGGAGAGTTATAATCGCCTAAGCCCTGAAAAGGCAGGGCTCCCAAAAGATGATGTCCGTCATCTTTTCATTGTACCTCCGATGTAAATACGGCTTATTTGCATTTTATTTATTTATACCCATTTTTGCACCTTTATGTAGATTCTCATTTATCATGCAATCATTGATACATGTCACCATTTATGTTTTTGGTATGTCAGCCGTATATATATATATATATATATATATATATATATATATATATATATATATATATATATATATATATATATATATATATATATATATATATATATATATATATATATATATATAATTAGATAATTATATATATATATAATATATATATATATATATATATATATATATATATATCGGTATCTTGATTTGCAAATAAACAAGCCAATACTAAATGTAAAAAAAGGTATAAAAAAGAAAGAACCAAGAACATGTACGTTGGCCGAAAATAATCGTCTAGCATGCAAGTCCAAAGCCCAAATAAATAAAAAAAACCCGATGTGAGTACGCAAAATAACTAAATAAAGTGCTCAATAAAGAGAGTAGAGCAAACATAGTTAAACCTAGAGAGCCAGACAAACCTACCAAGGCTTCATCTAAGCGGATCGTCAGTGAAAGTTTAGTTTGTCTGGGTCTCTAGGTTTTATTTTATATATATATATATATATATATATATATATATATATATATATATATATATATATATTTTTTATTGAATAAGACAGACAAGTGCTTTCATTTAGTTTTTTTATACAATTTCTCATACGATCTAACGAAAAATCCGAAAAGAAAAAAATATTAGATCTCATGAGAAATTGTATAAAATGTGCATGAAAGAAGGATTGCTGCCTAAATACACACACACACACACACACACACACACACACACACACACACACACACACACACACACATATATATGTGTGTGTGTGTGTGTTTTATGTGTGTGTGTGTGTTCTTGTGCGAGTGTACAGTAGTGGAATGTGTTTAAAAACATTGGTTGCCAGGGGAAATTTGATGCACCCGCTACTACAATGGTACCATTTAATTTTCATTGGGAACAAATAAAGGTAAAAAAATAAAACCTATGTATAAAAGGATACAATTAAAATTTATGTTACAAATGTGTATTTCTTAGTAATTAGAGTGTAAATATTCTGCACATATTACTGGCAGTAGATACCAAATGTGAATACAGAATATAATAATGCATTTTTTAATTCTAATTAAATGGTTGTTATTTTTAATAGTTTTCTGTACAAATTACCCATTAACAGACAGTTCGAAAGCAAAATAGAGTATTGCATGCAGTCCACTATCTTAAGAGCAATCATTTGTGTTCACTAGGTGTGAGTGTACGATTCTTCCATTAAATGATACTGCATCCAATTTATCTAATTCCTTTTCAATGGATAGCAATACTGTATGATTCCAATTTCTCCTGAAATAAGAATTTCTTAACCTTGTCTTAAATATCTTTACCTTTGAAAATGTCCTATCACATTGGACTTGAGTAACTGATAGATAGCAGATGACTTTGTGGAGTTCATATTCCTTTTTATTACGAAAACAAGTGTCTATGTTTGTTTCATGATTGGATTCTTATCTGATATAGAGGACACTTGCCATCGAGGAAGCTGACACACGCATCAGTCCACCACTATATATTTTCATAGTATGAAGAATTGAATATATCTTATATGATTTTCCCAGTCTCTTTTAATATGTTTAGAGGATATCGTCAAGTTAGTTTTAATATGATCACATGATAATTTTCTATCATTTCTCCTATAAGTTATTGCTCTATCTGTTTGATTATGTCTTATATGATTTTATCTCAGCTGTTTGAACATACCGTATATGATATTTTCCTTTCTGTTTGAATACAACTTATAGTATATGTTTCTTTTAATGTTCAACATGTATTATATACTATAATCCTGTCTGATCGAATATAACTTATATGATATTTTCCTGTTTGAATTTGATTGTAAAAGGGTGAAAATTTCCTGATCTTGATCGATGCTAGAACTGTGGCATCTTGCATGCATTATTTTCCATCATATTGTTTTATTCCAGATAAACTCCTTATCTGACCGTTCGAAGAAGACTTCAAAAGTAACTCGTAGATATTTCTCTTGTAAATTGACAAAATTTGGCATCGTGATGTTATGAATCCGAAACCCTGAAGCAACACCATCCCGGACAATTGTGTTTAGCATGAAAATGTCTGTCGCCTATGTGTGTTGACTTCAATATTCACTTCCATATTTACATTCACTCTATCACTGATATTTGGCCCTTTATCCCATAAATTTAGCACACCTTAAAACTATATTCCTTGTAATTATTGTTATGTTCTGAACAATAAAAATCTTAAAATATTCAGACACACTGCGTTGTTTATTAATATTCTTTCATTTTCATTATTTCAATTCGTTTCCTCGATTTGTCTCGGCCAATATGGCCATCATCAGAATGAAAAAGATTTCTGCTTTTTAGTAGTATTTACATGCAGAAATGAATGACTTGATCGAGAAAATGAAATTTCTCTCTACTTTTCATTTGTTTTTGTTTTAGCCAACGAGGACATTCATGCTGATAGGGTTGCTACATTAAGTTATGAGGTTTCAGAATTATCAACTGTGCAAAATGGGGCCGCTGAATCTAGAAAGAGTAGGGGGAAACATGATTATGACCCAAGGTCTGGACGTCCTGTAACTGAAACCACCGAGGAGAACATTGATCACGATTGATGCCAGGCGATTGACTATGAATCAAAGAGACAATATTATTAGCATATCCCTCAAGGTAGTTGAGAACAGGTTTCAGTTCGTCGGGTGCAACGTCTTCTGACACTTGATCAAAAGCGCACCAGGTTGAAAAAATCACGGGGAAATCTGAAATTGTTTGACGCAGATCAAACTGCTTTGCCTGAACGTTTACTAACCCAGAATGAGAATTTGAGCTTTATTTTCTCTTTGAGCCAAAGACAAACAGACAAGACATGCAGTAAAAAGACCCCTTCTCTCTTTCTCCAAAGACGTCCATCGTAATTTTATCTGCAGGTAATGTGATGGCCTCAGTTTTTGTGGGATTGCAAAACGCACTGTATTTATATTTAACTGTTGTAACCAAGAGAAGGATACTGAATCGATTAATCGCAGGAATGTTGGCATTGAACAATAATACTAAGTACAAGAACAACACATATAAGTTTTGCCAGCGGAGCGTAGAAGTAGTCAACAGTTTGAAGTGAGCCAATTTAATACCACAATGAATCTCCTACTGCAGGATATCTACCAACCACCCTACGCGGTTAGAGATGACACACGACTGTATTTAATGTGGGGTAATCGAGTCCATTGGCTCGACGAAAAATTTTCCGAAGACCCCGTATAAAACCAGCTCAGGTAGCTGTTTTCTTAGACGAGATTCTGCTCTTCGACACAGCCTCGTCTGGGAATTCACTCAACTCGGAGGCAGAGAGTTTGACCAAAACATGTGGAGACGAATCACAAACTGCAAACCAACATACAGTATTTACTACTGTATTTATGTGAATGGGGATATACCCATTATTGTTCGCGTGTATTTTACATCGTTACAAATGGATACACAATCAATAGAGAGTCCACTACTAAATAGCTGAGGCAATTACCAAATGCTATACACTTGTATATTGTAAAATTACCAGCAATACTTAATTATAGTAAAATGATCAACAATATATTTTTAAACCAAAATCACCAGCAAT